CGGCCTCCTCGCCTGCCGCCCGCGCGCCGGGCGTCCCCGACGCCTCTGGACGGCGGCGTTGGAGGCAGAGGCCGTGGGGACATCCCCGGCTGGACGTGCCAGCTGGGAATGCCCCATCCGCGGGCAGGTCTTGGGGGTCTCTCTGCGCTCTGCCAGGCTGTGCCTGCTCCAGCCCGGGGACCATCGCTCCCTGCAGCCTTTCGGGAACATTTAAATTTACTTCTACCGCCCTCTGGGGACAGAGAAAGCCCGTCCCTGGGCCAGCTCTGTCCCCAAGGACAACTCTAAGCGCCCTCTGGAGTCCTGCCACAAGCGAGAGCAGGGCTTTGTATCATAAAGTTTAAAAGAAGGTATTCTAATATTAATTATAAGTCTAAGATGTATAAAGTTCTCACAAGCTGTGTTTTACTTCCAGAAAAGAAAACAATTGTCACTTTAACTTTGTAAATATTTATGTAAAACATTATTTACAAAACTTTGATATTATATATTATTTGATCGTATATGTACACAGTGTAAATACGTTTGTACCTCTCTCTTGTATTCTAAATAAAAATAACTTGGAACATTTATCATTTAGAAGACGGATGGTTTGGGGAGCTTTGTTTTGCTCTGTGGTCAGGGCGCGTGACGGTTTGGACGCGTACAAGGCGAATAAGGGGGCGTAGTTTCATCTACTAGAGCAAGCAGTGCCGCTGGGGAAGAGGAAAGAGAGCTTTGGGATGCAGAAACCCTTTTGCAGGTCTGCAAGAGAAGCGGCAACTTCAGCCTAAATCCAGACGGATGGCACTATTTGGTCCAGTATCTTCTCGTTTTATTTGAAGCAACAACTGTTGATGTCTTCCCTGAAATAATGGCCATGTTTCCTCTGTGCCGGGCTACAGATATAAGTCTTGCTCGAAAGAATAACGTTTGATCTTGGCCCAGAGGAAGAGACGCAGTCCTAAAGGTCATCACGGGCTTCTTTTCCCTTGGTATTTTCCCAGCAGCTCCGAGGGTCTAACCAATGAAGTGAATAAAACTTCCACGCAAGCAGGTGATTGACCGTTGCCGCAGCTTTGCCAAACTCCTCACCCCTCCAGGCCAGCCCGGGGGGGCTGGAGGAGCCCTTGTCGCCTGGTGGAAGATCACCGGGCCCGAGGGGGACTTCGGCAACGAGAGGCGCCGACTGTTTGGTTTTCTTTTTTAAAAATCAGAGATGTGATTTTTTTTTTTTTTGGAGTAATGTTATGCAACCCTCCCCTGTCACACGTACAACCCGGCAGCGCGATGGGGGCAACTCAGCCCCTCAGCGGGGCCCTTCGGCACGGGGGGGCCGGG